GGAAGTGCATACTTGAGTCTTTTCAGGCCACCAGAGGCTCAAGTTTTTATTCAAAGGAGTTTATAAACTAGTAAGAGAGGGTAGGAGAGATAAGTAAAAACAAGCTTCAAGTTGTTTTAATGAGAATATAAAGATTTTATTAGCAAGAAAGTATAAAACTTTTTGCAAATATCTTTTTTATACAGTATATGGTCAGAGGATTAGTAAAAAGAGTTTAATCAGTTAATAATTTTAAAATTCATATATATTATATTTTATTTTATTTTTTTTAAATCCTTGATCAGATCAGTACTGTGTATAAAAAAAATTCATATATATTATATATTAATACTAGTTTTATTTATTATATATATATATTTTTATGACCTGTGAATCAATAGCACAGTAGTAGTGCTCCCAGGTTACAATCACAAAATCTATAGTTCAATACTATTTAAGAATCAAAATTAAAAATTACTTTTCTGATCAGGTTTATCAATTATTTTGTAAAAGTCATACCCAATCATCTGGAACAAGCTTTAATAGATTAGACTATACAAAGATGAAACTTCTAATCTTTCATCAATCAGGGGTTGAGATCTATAGACATACTACTGGAAGGATTGCATGAAGAAAGGCTTCTGGTTTAGTTTACTATAAATGTTCCCACGACCTTCTATCCTGACAATCTTTAGGATTCTTACTCTTCTAGCTCAAGATATCTCAATATGATACTTCGCTTAAATAAAAATCAGTCAAATGGAATTGATCTGATGCCACAGGTAGTAATAAAGAAGATAAAGTGTCTCCTTCTAAGGTTTGAGCAAATAATATCTGAAAGTATTAAAGTGTAAACTAAATTTTATCAGATATATACTATATAGATTAGTTTAGTAAATATAATATAAAAATTTATAAAAAGCTCAATACTAAATTAGTCTATTTTATCATTAATAACTGTATAGTAACTGTCTGGTCCCTAGTTGAATCTGTTCCACTCACAAAGTGATAGTAGGTTCACCTAGGATAAACTATAATAGGTTATCATAATCCACATATATATAAAAATATATAGTTTATATAAGATTATTGATATTATATCTAGGATTTCATTATCCAAGATATTAAATTAATTCTTAATAAAAGGGTTTATATCTAATACTAGTTACGGTTTAAAAAAAATTTTTTTTTTATTATATTTTTTTCAAAAAATTTTATATGTAATTTTTTAAAGTTTTATTATTGTTAAAAAATATTTTTCTTTATTAAATTTTTATTTTTAGAGGATTTTAATTGGCTGTTATTATAAATTATATAATAATTAACAAAAAAATAAAGATATTTAGCAATAATAATCTTTAGAATGTATTAATAAAAATTTTTTAAAAAATATAAGAAATAGAATAATATTGAAACATATAAATTTTATAATTTTTGACTGTATAATTAATGATTTAAAAATTGGCAAAATTGAAATTTATAATAAAAATATAATAAATGGACTTAAATTTTTGGAAGCAACTGTATATATACTATATATATACATTATTTAACTTGAAATTAAAAAAAAAAATAAAAAAAAAAACTTTTTTCTATAATTTCATTTTTTCATAAAAATTTTTTATAAGGAAATTTTTCCAAAGAAAAAAGTAACCACTGAGAGATAGCAGTTTTAAAGATCAAACACAAGTTGATAAACTTCTTTATAGAAATAAGTTTTCTTTATGGTGCTATGTTCAAGTACTCTGGACTTGCAGAACAGTTGAATCAAATAATAGAGTCTTTGCCAAATGGATAGACTGGACTTTTGTTTATTTTAGTAACTCTAAATGATAAGTCTTCCCTTCTCTACTTGACCCAGGCTCCTCTAAAAAGAAGAAAAAATATTGTTTGAAAAAAAAAAGATATTAAGAAGACAAGAAACAGGATAAATCAAAGGATAAAATAACCTTTGCTTAAACAATATTTATCTCCCAAGATATATAAATGTTCTAAATATGTTAAAGATTTTACTAGTTATACTTTACAAAAGAAACATTTTAATAGATATCACAAACTAAATATTATAGAAGTTGATAAACATATCAAGCAAAAAAAAAACCATAAGGCAGCCTATAAAAAAACCAAAGCCAGTTTTGCTGGAATACTAGCTTGGAAGTCTTTCAAAAAATATTCAAGATTGATTACGATAAGCTTAACAAACAGACAGTGCTTGAATTAATAAAGCAAATGAAGGATAAATCTAATAAATATTGGATTCATCTATCTAAGGAAAAGGATATTGGTATTTATAACTACACTCCCACTACTAATGGTTTTGAACTAACAATTTGAGGTTTTAAGACTTATTTAAAGCCTATCTCTTTCATGCTTGAAGAATTATTCAAAGATAGGTTTGATAAATAATTAATAATTTAGATTTCTATCACAAATACAAATCCTTGTTAATAGATGTATAATATGAAGAAATCAGCTTTATTGATAGAACTTTTAAGGATGATTGGAAGGTAAAACTCTATTCCTATTATTCTTATGTTTAAGTTGATAATAAAGTAAACATTATACCAGTGAAATATCAAATAAAATTGAGAATTTTGATAATTCTTTTATCAAAAAACCTTGGTGAGAAAAAGAATTTACTGAATATACTGAAGTGTTTAAAATCTATAATACAAGTTAAAATATGATAACAGTTTGATAACTAGATTACTTTTTAAAATTGTTTTAAAAAAAATTAAAAGTATATTGAATATTTTTCTTATAGTATAGTTTTATATTTATAGTTACATTATTTATATTTGCTTTTATATTTATTATGTATTATAAGTATTTATAAAATTCTATTTTTAGAAGTATAATAAAGTAAAGATAAAGATATTGACTTATCTCTCTTATTTATATTCCTTTTCAAACAAAACTTGATTTTCAATAATCAAGAAAAGTCAAGAAATACCTTTTTTACCTATGGTAAGAAAGTTTTAAAAGGAAAAAAAAATCAATAATGAAATACTTAAAGCCTATCTCTTGAAGCAAGAGTACAACTAGAGATTTTGTGCAGTGAATGGACAATCGAACAAAAGCCTAAACCATAAAACTTTCTTTCTTACTGTTTCTACCCTCTTAGAGTTGCTCATTTTTCAGAGTTTTTGAAGAATTTTTTCTACCTTAGCTTGATTCTGAATTTTGAAGTGATACAAAATTGACATGGATTTTTTTAAAGGTGATTGGTTAACACAAATCATATTAGTAGAATATAAACAAGCTCTTACTAGTTATATTATGTGTTCTAATGATGTTATTGATAAAAGAAAGAGAAATTATTGATATAAACTCTTTCACTTCTTTAAATAAAGAGTAACTGAAATAAAGAAATCATGAGATCATTAAAAAGACACTAAATTCCCTAAATGGTGAAAAAGTGATTTTTTGTTCAAACTGAGGTCTTTAACTTTTTATTATCCTAGTCAGGCAAAGTATATAAAAAAAATTATTTCTTATCCTAATCAGGCTGTAAAACTGAAAAGCAGAGAAATATAAAATACTGTTCTTTTTTAGGATTGAGAATACATTTTTCTAGATATTATGTAATAATATTGCAATTAAGATAAATACTAATAGAATTTCTTTAACTAGGTATAACTGCTGAAAAATATTGAGATTATACAATAAGATTGAAAAGCTATATAAGAATCTGGAGTTTATCATTAATTATTTTGTTTTGTGCAAGTAGATATAAAATCAATATTAAAAGAAAGAAAGCATTGAGCAAAACACTTGATTCGAATAGGCAATAAGTACTTTAGATGATCATAAGAAAATAATCAAGACCATAGATGGATAAATTTCTCAGATAGTTAGAAAGAAGAAGAATATTCCAGAAGGGTTGACTCTTAATGAAAAAAGATTTCTAACAAAGATTTTTTAGAGGATATAAAGCACTTAATTTTTTCTTTTTCTTTTTCTTTTTCATGTAGCACAATTGTATATTTTTAGATATACCTTTTCTTTTTATTTTCCTTTTTCTCTTTTGTGATTTCTTGAAATCAGTCCTTAAAGGATAATAAGCAGTAGCAACCTACTGACAATGATGTGTAAATTAGAAGAGTATTTACTTAAAATCTACTATAGAATAAAATATTGTTCTCAAAGTTGCACTTAGAGATTGAAGTTTTTTTGAAAATTGAAAATCATTAACAAGTAAGTTAGCATAAGTTTTAGTTTAGTCATGATGCAATTGCCTTATGTATCTCTATCAGTTTTCATATTGATTAATAAACACATAGTGCTGACCTGACCACAGGTTTAAAAAAAAAAAAAGAAATTCAAAAAAAAAATGTATTAGAAAAAGATATGTATTTAGAAAGTTTATCTGTATATACTGTAATTCAAAAAATGTTATATATTTGTAATATTTTCTGGGGAACAAAATGTGCAAGACAAACACATAAAAACTATGAAAAAGATAATAAATAAGTAAAGAAAAAATAAATAATATTATGAACTTTTGTTATTTTCAAAGGATTTTAGTCATAAATGTTGGTTATTGTTGATAACCAAGCAACGGTCTAATTTTAATCTTTTAGATAGCTTCAATATTACGAGTGATCCAAAAAGCAGGTCAAGAACATCTAATAGATAAATGAATAAATGAATGAAACAACATTTCAATCGTTCTGGGGTACGATAAGACGGTGTGATGTTAGAATATATGTTTGCCGAAATCATTTTTACATATCCTTTCGAAACAAGTGGCGAACGGATAATTGTAGTTAATAATAAAATTTATTTGTTTTATTTAATTTTTGAGGAATTCATAACCATACAGGTCACAAGTGAGTCGAGTTCAATTTCAATTTTTGAATTTAATCCTCGACCATTCTATCGTACTTGACGATATGGCTGTAAGCGTGACCGGGTCATACATTCACGGTTAGCTTTACAATTCCAAGTTCTAAAGACGAATGCAACCTTTTAATCATGCACGCAAGTTCACCACCGATTCCCATTAAGGATCGGTTGAATCAGGTGAGAACATATTTTGGACCATTTCCTCCTTCGGGCGTAACCCAATCGATGTTCTGGGAAACGTCCTTGATATCACAGGTTTTACAATGAACGCAGTTTTGTGAGTTGATTTGTAAACGTTTTTGTCCTACGTTCACTTCGTCGTCGACAAACTCGTAGACACCGGCTAAACGGAAAAGATAATGCATGGGTGATGGAATATAAAATATGACAACACATTCCGTCAAACTCGAAGTTTATGGTTTACCTGGACAGAATCTTTGCTCCGGACCATCAAATATTTTCAAATTCCTTTCGACAGGAATGCTCTTATCCCTTAATCGCAAATGCACCGGTTGATTTTCAGCATGGTTCGTGCCGCTGAGAGAAACACTATCCAAAAGATCGAATGTTATCACGCCATCAGGCTTTGGATACTCGATTGGCTTGCACTCCCTGAGTAATAAGGGGGGACGGTCAGAATAATTAATAATTCTGAAAAACCCATGATAAATATAATTACTTTGCCGGCTTTGTGGCAGCGTAATCCTCGTGGTGTTTGAATGTCCACGGCGTACGACCCTTCAGAAATAGCATGTCCAACCCTGAGTAGCAAATGAAACCCCATAGACCTAGTGGGTTGTTAAATGACGGCCGCACATTTCGTACTTCACGTAACTCCTCGTAAACCCATGAATTTTCAATAGACTCTTCATACGCGGACAAGTTGATAGGACGGGTCGAAGCATTTTCGGACGTGACCGCGTCGTACGCCGCTTCCGCGGCAATCATCCCCGATTTCATTGCCGTGTGAGTCCCCTTTATCTTTGGGACATTTAAAAATCCCGCGGTACATCCGATGAGAGCCCCGCCAGGAAAGATCAACTTTGGAATTGACTTGAGCGTACATTATGACCGTTTAGTTAATACCCTATCTCATGCTAGACGTGAAATTAACCATAACACCATTCGTTCATCAAATAAAATTACCTGATAACCACCTTCATTCAACGCTCGTGCAGCATACGATATACGCTTTCCGCCTACAAGGTGCTTCTTGATGAACGGATGAAGTTTGTATTTCTGTGAAATGGAAGGTCATTCATTCATTCGTACGTACGGTAAGCATGACATAGCGAAGTCCGTGATAAATAATTGCATTACACAAAGATATTGACCTGAAACTCTTTGTAAGGATTGAGGTACGGATTCTGATAATCTAGCGCCACCACAAATCCTACTTGAACAATATTATCTTCCATGTGATATAGGAAACCTCCGCCGTATAATTTCCAGTCCAACGGATATCCCATCGCGTGCAACGCATACCCCGGTCTAGCCTTCTCCGGATCGACCTCCCACACCTCCTTTATGCCCAACC